GTTGGCTGGTTGTCCGGTGTTCCTGAGTGGGGACTCGCCTGCTTTCCTGCCACTTTCCCAAGTGTCTAAGCCATCCTAAAAATTAAAAATAAAAAAAAAAAAGTCTTGGAGACAGCAGATGGCATAGCTGTTAAGTCCCTGAACTCCCACATGGCCGACTGCAGTTCAAATCTCAGACCCAGTGGCTTGACCCACTGGCACATGTGCATGTATACCTGGGAGGAGAATGGAATAGAAGGGATTGAGGCATGACCATCCCCTCTGTGGGGGGAGGGGTTGATTTCTGACTTTCCCTCTCACTGTCTCTCTGTCTGAGTGCAGGTGATCTAAGGCAAAAACTTTATAAAAAAAAAAAAAAAAAAGGAAGCCCCTTTACTGCTAAAATGACACAGAATTAGCTTCTATTGTTTGTAGCAAAGATCCTGACTGGTAATAGATCTCTGGGGTAACTCCTAGTCCCAGGACAAAACTTACTTCCTTTATATTTTAAATAGCACCAACAAAACAATAATACTTAGAGTTTTATTATTTTCAACCCATCCTTTGAAGCACTTGTTTACTTCACTGTACTAGCACACAGAGAAATAGTCCAGCATAGAAATCATTCACTAAAAATTCATGTGACAAGTTTAAAAAAGAAACTAAACTTAAGGGCATTCATTGGTAAGTGGACAAACAGTCCAACCTATTGAGACAAGGCGGTAGTCATTAATCTCACTTAATAACCCTGTGACAATGACAGTCGCTTACATTCTCCAACCTTTCCTTTGCTTGCCTGTAAAATGGGGGTTTACATGGGACTGGCAGGTTAGCCATCTAATAAGTTAGCATCTGGCATCCAGATGACTGTCAATAAAGGGTCGGCCCAACATGGCTCCAGCGAACTAGATTTTTCAGGGAATGAAGATTTCCTACTGATAATTCAGCCTCCAACAAAGAGCTAGCAGTAGGGAGTCCCCCGCCCCCACACCCCCAGCCTTCTATCTCTGTCTCTATGTCTGGGTTCCTGTCTCTCCCAGCTTTTGTCTTTCCTTTTTTTTTTTTTTGTAATTTTTCCTTTTTTACACTTTTTTAAAAAGGCACAGTTTTTCTCTGGCTCTCAGCTCCACCTTTTATAATTATCGCTCTGCTCCTCCCACGCAGGCAGAAGAAGCCAGGCCTTCAGAAGAAGGTTCCACATGGTTCCTGCAAGCTAAATTTTTTGCACGCTGTGCGTTTTTCTATTTTGTGATTTTTTTTTTTAAAGAACAGTAATTACAATTTTTTAAAATTTTAATTTCTTTTGTCTTTTTTTCTCTTTTTGTTGTTCTCTCTCTGTTTCATTTTCCTTTTTCTTGTCTCTCCACCCTCCAATATCCTTTCAATGTGTTTTTAGATGGATCTAAGAGCACCGTAGCTAAACATCCAAATACTAATAGGGCTAAAATATTCCCCACTATCTACTGAATCTTCTGTACCAGCGATCACAACAGAACGGCAACGAGATTCTAGATCACCTCTGTCTGCTTGCTCCTGAACATTAAGGCTGAACTTCAAGAATCTGAAAGAAACACACCATCCATCAGATGACAAGAAATCACCGCGAGATCACAAGAAATATGGGAAAACAAGAAAATGCCTCTCCAAGGGAAAAGAGTAACTATTCTTCATCCACAAGCAGTTCGGTGAAAATCATGGAAATGTCTGATAAGGAATTTAGATCATTCATAATGTCGAAGCTAACAGAGATGGAAGAGAAGAGAGATAATGAACTGCTAAAGAGAAAGGAGAAAGAAGTTGA